ACTCGCCAGGTGTGCCCCGGGCCTGCCCATTCTCTCCCGTGGCTGCACACACTCAGGCGGCTGCCTCTCCCCACCCCTCTGCCTTCCCAGCCCTCTCCCCTGCCTACCCCGACCCCCGCGCCTACCTGATCGCCTACCTGATCGCCTACCTGATCGCCATCAGTGGTCCTTGGGCCTGGGACCTCTGAGCCATTGACCCTCCTGCTGTGCACGCTGACCTCCCCCAGGTGGTCCTCCCTGTCCCTAGACTCCGCCCTCTCACCAATAACCTTCCCATCTTCCTTCCCCCTCCCTCTCCACCCCGGCTTTGCCCTCCCCACGCTGGCTCTCCCGTCACCGTACACACGTGTCATTTCCGCGCCTCACCATCCCCGGGTCCTGTAGGCTGTATGGCCACCACCTCCGGTCTCCCCTCCGGTGTCCTCCCCACGCACTGCCAGGCTTTCTCCCCCGCTCGCCGGCACCGTGACCTTCACCTGCCAAACCCCTTGGCTGCCGTCGTGGATGGATCGCTCTCCGCACCTGGCAAGCAGGGCGGGCTGTGTCCTCCCATTGGACCCAGCGGGGAGGGCGGTGCTGGTGTCTGCTCTGGGGGAGGGCGGTCAGGTGCCCGCTCTGGGGGAGGGTGCTGCGTGCAGAGAAGCCAGGGGAAGTACGGAGAGAGCAGGCACTCGGTCAGGGATGGGCCATGATGATGATGATGATGATGATGATTGATGATGATGATGATGATGATGATGGTGGTGGTGGTGTCGTCGTCGTCGAGATGAGAGGGGTGGGCCAGCGAGGGGAGGAGTTCCAGGCAGATGGAAAGGCCGAGAGGCCAGGAGAGCAGTGACAGGCTGCAGGGACCGGTCTGTCAGGTCAGAGGTCAGTCACTGTCATCCTGGCCTAGACCACGCCTGGCATCCGGAAGGCCTCCACATGGGGCGGACTGCTCCCCCTTCCTCCTTCCCCCGCCGTCCCTATTCATCTCCCCCCGTTCCCCCAGCCCTGAATGCCCAGCTCAGCGTCACCTCCCCCTGAACTCCCCCCCGCCCTCCGGCTCCGCGCGGCTGGCCGGAAGGACTCAGCAGAGGGCTTTCCGCCTGTGTCTTCCTCTTCTCCTAGAACTGAGGCAGGCCCTGGCCGGCGTGGCTCGGGCGGGTGAGGGGCCTGTGCGCCGAAAGGTGGCCAGTTTGATTCCTGGTCCCGGCCCCGGCCCAGTTTTGGCGTCGGTTCCCCGTCAGGGTCATGCAGGGGACAATCACCAATGTTCTCTCTCTCTCATCAATGTTCCCCTCTCTCTTTCATTAATGTTTCTCTCTTTCTAAAATCAGCAAAGACATATCTTTTTAAAAACTAGAATGCCAGGCAGGGCCTGGGACCAGTCCCTCTCTGAAGACCTGGGCTGTGGGGGAGGAATCAGGAGCAGTCGCAGGCATGCAGGGGCCGCGGCAGAGGCAGACACTGCCAGGACGAGCAGACCCTTCTTCCCCGCCGGGACCCACCGAGCCTCGGTTTCCCCCTGGAGGCCGGGCGCACGGAGGTCCTGCCTGGGAAGGCTCAGCTGTGTGACCCCCTTGTTACCCAGCCACGGGGGTGAGGGTGCGGACAGGGCGGGGGGAAGGGGAGCCTTCAGGTCACTTTGGGGACGGGTGGTGGGGGAGGAGGTCAGGGGGACCGCTCACCAGGCCCCTGCCCAAAGGAGCCCGTTCCCTGCCCCCACCGCTGAGAACCAGAGGGGACGGCACAGCTTGTGGGAGGATTACAGCCTAATCCCCAGCAGGTCACGTCCGAGGCTGCAGGAGGCGGTGCGGGCAGGGAGGAGAGAAGGGACCCGGGGCCCACCCGCCCTGCCTCGGCCCTCAGCCCTGCCTCAGCCCTCTTCGGCCCTCCTCAGCCCTCCTCAGCCCGGCCTCGGCCCTCCTCAGCCCTCCTCGGCCCTCCTCGGCCTGGCCTCAGCCCTCCTTGGCCCTCCTCAGCCCTCCTCGGCCCTCCTCGGCCCTCCTCGGCCCTCCTCGGCCTGGCCTCAGCCCTCCTCGGCCCTCCTCGGCCCTCCTCGCCCGGGAGGCTCTTCAGGAAGCCGAGCGGCTGCCCGGTGCCGTCACGCGCCCTGCCGTGCTCAGCCGTTCTCCTCACATGACGCTGGGAGGCAGGGCCCCATCTCGGGAAGGGGAGCCCCAGGCAGTCTGACTCATTCCTCAAAGGCACGGGCTCCTTCCTTCCCTCAGCTGCCCCGGGGCAGGAGGCAGGACGAGGCCCTCGGGGGGACACTGGCCGGAGGCAGGCTCAGCCGCACTGGGCAGCCCGCTGGTTAGGGAGGGAGGGCGCTCCCCGTGGTCACAGGTGTGCAGGTGAGGGCACAGCCAGGGGTGCTGCGGAGAGAGGACTCCCCTCTCCCGGCTTCCGAGCTGCCTGTGCCTCCTTCACCCGTCAGCCTCACCCCCTGCTCCCCTCGGAGCCCCTGCCCCCGCCTGGCTCCGGGGTGAGACGTACACCCAACAAGTGAACCACCAAACAGCACAATACAGAATACAGTCACGTGACGGCATCGTCAATAAAATAAACGGAGAATATGGTGGATTGGGAGTCCGGTCTGGAGGGCTTCTCGGAGGCGGTGTCGCACACGGAGGTTTTGCAGTTGAGAAGGGCCTCCGGGGTCTCTTGCTGATCCTGGAGTTTGGAGTCTGGAATTCACTCCTTGAGTGGCCTGGTTCCCCTCAGGAACGGGGCTGGGGACAGGACCCCAGAGTCAGGGCCTCTCTGAGCCTCAGCTTCCCTCTGGGAGTGTTTCGTGGGGGCTTTTAGGTTTCATTGTATCGTTAGAGGTTTGGGTGAGGGTTAGGTGAGAGGCTTGTGATCCATGTCCAGTGATGCCAGGCCCTTGGGGGGCTGTGTGCTGTCGCAGAGGCTCATGGGGGAGACTCACGGGTAACTGAGTCTCAGCAGGAGTGTGTGCGGGTCAGGGTTGGGGAGGAGGGGTGCCAGAGGTGGCAGGTGGTCACCGCCTCCCAGGGCGTTTTGCAGGGAGAGATGGAGTCGCCTCTTTGGAAGGTGAAAAAGGTGGGAGGGGCATTCACTTGGGAGGGGGGAGCAGCAGTGCAGCCCCAGCCCTGGGGAAGGCTGCGGGGGGGCTGGCAGGAGAGGCCCGGAGGGGGCTGGCGGTTTTCTGCTTCTGTCCATCCCTGAATCCAATGGTCCAAGATCCTGAGATTCTGAGATTCCACAGTTTGTTCCAGTTTGTTTTTCTGAGTTGGGCACAGCTCTGCTCCAGGTGCCAGCTGGAATCCATTTTTAAAAAGTGCCAGGACTGGATTATAGAGATGGCAGAGTACAAAGAGCCTGGCGTGGCTGGTTTACCTGGACGGGCCTTGTGTGTGTGTGTGTGTGTGTGTGTGAGCATTTCTCTGCAGCCAGGGAAGGTGTTCCTGTGCCTGCCAGCGACCCGCGGCCTCCCGCACCCTCCCTGCTCCCGCACTCCTGTCTGCGGCCCGCAGCAGACCGCCAGTCAGCATGCATTCCCCTCGCTGCCACCATTGCCGCCCCATTCCATTCTGGTTAGTGTCCGGTGCTCCCTGGCAGCTGTGTGCTCCTGGCTGGCCCTGCAGGTCTGGCCAGTCACCGGAGGCCATAGGCACCGGCGTGGATTCAGTCTCGGGTTTGGGATCGGATTCCCCCTAACCAGCCCCGGGACCGAGCAGGCTCCCGGAAGCAGCGGTAACAGGAGAATAAGGACGCGGCCCTCGGGGGCTAATTAGGAGTCACTGAGGGCCCGGAGGGATCCCTCTTTGTCTTGCCTGGGCCGCCAGGGGGAGGGCGGAAACCGAGGTGCAGGCCTCCCCCTCCACGCAGGGCGTGGGCAGCTGAGCTGAGAGTCCTGGAGGGCGTCCGGGAGGCCACAGGGGCTGGTCTGTGCCTTTGGCAGCGCTCCTTCCCTGCCCCGAGCCTCAGTTTCTCCGCTTAGACTCAGGCCTGGTTCAGGTGCGGCTCCCCGTCCGGCCCAGCCTGCAGCCTGCAGGGACCGAACGCGCAGCCTCTGTTCTGACCGTCAGCCCCTCCCAGCCTGCTCTTCTCAGCAAGGGGCCCCCGCCTCCAATCTGTCATAGCTCCGTGTGTCAGCCAGGGCTGTGGCCTCACCTGACGCCTGAGGGGGGTCCATGTTCAAGTTCACTCACATGGTGCTGGCAGGACTCACTTCTCTGTGGCTGTGGGACTGAGAGGCTCAGGTCTCTTCTGGCTGTTGACCCTCAGTTCCTACCCAGGCAGGCCTTCCCAGGAGGCAGCTCGCCCGTCGGAGGGAGCAGGCAGGAGGGGCCGAGAGCCAGAGTTGGTAGCTTACTCACAGAATGAGGTCCCGTCACTTTTTCCGTGTTCTGTGGCAGGTGCCCTGGGCTCGGCACACAGACCAGGTGTGAGTACCGGAAGGGGGGTCCTGGGCCATTGAGCTGGCTGCCGGCCAGACTGAAGTGGACCTGATGGGGGTTAAGTGAGGGGCCACAGGTGACTCACTCCTGGTGCTGCAGGCTGCCCTGGAATTGGCGGGATTGTGCCAGGATTATTTCTCCGTTCATCGCTCCTTGCACGTGTCAGGGCCTGGACAGCAGGGGAGGGTGGGACCAGGGACAGACAGGTGGGGCCTGGGGCCTCTGTGGAGGGAAGGGGTGCACAGGATGGGGGTGGAGGCCGAGCAGGTTCCCTGCCCAGGAGCACAGGAAACCCCTGGCTCTGGGAGGCTGGTCCAGACTCAGAGGAACCTCGGTGTCAGGTCCCAAGAGGCCTTCTCAGGACCTGGCTGGCCCGGGGAGGGGGGAAGGGTGATGGTGGTAGTGGGGGGTAGGGGGAGCATATCTGCAGTGAAAGGGTCCTCAGATCTGGGGTTGAGGATGGAAGCATGGACCCTGCCCTGTGCTGTGTGACCCGCGTCGGTCGCGCTCCCTCTCTGGGCCTCCCTCTGAAGACAGGCAGGCTGAGAGGTGCTGGTGGGGACCGCCCCCCATCCCGCCCTCCCTGCCCTGCAGGTGTTCTCCATCGTGGTGTTCGGCTCCATCGTGAACGAGGGCTACCTCAACACGCCCGCGGAGGGCGAGGAGTTCTGCATCTACAACCGCAACCCCAACGCCTGCAGCTACGGCGTGACGGTGGGCGTGCTCGCCTTCGTCACCTGCCTGCTCTACCTGGCCCTGGACGCCTACTTCCCGCAGATCAGCAGCGTGAAGGACCGCAAGAAGGCTGTGCTGTCCGACATCGGCGTCTCGGGTGAGGGCGGCCCCGGCCCCGGCCCCGGCCCGCTGACCCCTCGCACCCCTCCCAGGCGGGTGCGGGGACAGGCTGGGGCCCGCAGGGAAGCGTGGGGCCGGTGCTGGCCTGCAAAGCCCATGGCCGCCGCCCTGGGGGCCCCCTGAGAACTAAACAGGGTAGTGACTGAAGGCGCTGGCGCACAGTAGGTGGCCTGGGAGGGTCAGACCCTGGAGCTGGGAGCCCAGGTGGCCTGCTGCTCTTGCCCTTCAGAAACGTACCGTGACCCCCGTCCCTCTAGTCTGGAGAATCTGATTGGTGAGGGCGTAGGCTGAGCGTCAGTAGAAAGACATCAGCCTCGCTAGCCTAAGGCCATGGCCTCGGTTTTGTGGCAAGGACCTCCCTCCATTTCCCGGCCTGGGACTCAGGATGGGCCTGGCGGCTGGTCTGGGGGCCCTTAGACCTGAAGGAACTAGAACAAAATTCATGGTTCTCAAACTGGGTCCCACCGAGCCTCAGGGTGCCCAGCAGTGCCTGTGGGCGGGGCGGAGCGGGGCTCCAGGGCGCCCATGCTTTCTGAGCAGCTCGGGCCTCTCTGGAGGGGCCTGGGCACCACAGGTCTTGTCTGTGGGGCTCCCCTGCCGAGCTCCCCAAACCTCGGCTCCCAGGGCCCCTCACTGACGGACCCCCGGGGACTTTGTGAGGCTGCAAGCGCATTAGAGGGTGAGGCTCAGACCCGCTGGAGCTGAGCCACACACTTGTCCTAGCCCCGCCCCTTCCCCCGCCCTGACCTCTGGGGGGCTGCAGGCAGGGGTGATGGGGGTCGGGGCGCTCCTCCCGGAAGCTGCAGGCCTTGGGCGGACAGGGGCCAGTCAGGGGCAGCCGGGAAGTCTGTGCTTGGCCGAGGTAGAGAAAGGCCGGCCCGGCTGATGGACGTTCTCTCTCTGTCCCTCCCTCCCCGCCTCCCCTCTCTCCCGCCTCTCCCTGCCCGCCTCTCCCTGGGCCTTCGCTGGATCCTTCCCGTGACTGACCTCCCTGTGCTCGGCCCCCTTCCCTGTGCTCCCCTCCCTGCCCCCCTCGGGGGTGGGAGACGTGCTCTTGAACCTCCCCCTGTTCCTTGGTTCCTCATTTCTCCCACCTAACCCCCCCTCCCCACGTGGGACCGTTCCGCCTGACACCCCAGCCTTCTGGGCCTTCCTCTGGTTCGTGGGCTTCTGCTACCTGGCCAACCAGTGGCAGGTCTCCAAGCCCAAGGACAACCCGCTCAACGAGGGGACCGACGCAGCCCGGGCCGCCATCGCCTTCTCCTTCTTCTCCATCTTCACGTGGGTGAGTGCCACCTGCCACCAGGCCCCGGCCTGCGCTGCCAGCAAGGCAGGGACTCCATCCTGCTCTGCCCTCCGCCCCGGGCTGCCCCCGAGGAAGGAGACGGCTCCCATTGCCAGAGAGGACAGTCGGGGGGGGGGGGGAGGGCAGACCCTGCGTGGTGCGGAGCGCCACCACGGTAGCTGGGTGGGTGTCTTCTCTCCTCTGTAACAGGCGGCAGTGCTGAGGCTTCTCAGCAGGGTGAGGCTCCGAGGTCTTAGGCTGGGTAGGAGCCCAGGCTTGGAGGCAGCCTCTAGTTCTCCGGGCTGCTGTCTTCCCATCCGTAAAATCGGGCCGTTAGACTGGGGGAAGGGTGTCGCCAGCTCAGGTGCCCCCCTGGCAGGCCAGGCGGCATGTCCATGCCTGACCCATGGGCACCCTCTCCTGTTCAGAAGTAGGCAGGGCCCTACAGGGGCCAGGACTTCCGCTTTCCAGAGAAGCCAGGCTCGGAGCTCCTATGTGAGTCTGCTCTGGGCATGTGGGCACTGTATCGCGTTAAGGAAAAAGGTCATGAGGCTGTCTCTGCGCAGCCTGGCCGGACACAGCCCTCGTGGGCTCTGAGCCCCGGGGTCGGGAGCGCCACCAGCGAGACAGCAAGATGGCCTGGAGCCTCATTCTCTTACCCCTTCCCTCATCTCCTGCGCATGCCCGGCTCGCATCGCCCTCACCCCAGGGCCCCCTCTCCCAGACCTTGAGCCTTCTGCAGGGAGGAGCCCCACGCCGCACCCTCCTGGCCTGCCCTGGGCGACTTCTTTCTCTGGTGGAGGCCCGGGTATTCCTTTCTCAGGGGACCCCTCGCCTGATGCAATATTGGGAGCTAGAGTTTGCAAGGGGAGACGTGTGGTCCAGGCCCCAGCAGGCCGGCTGTGGCCGCTCCAGACCTCTGTGACCTCCAGGCTGGGAGGAAAGACCCGGTGACCCCGGGAATTCAGACAGAGAAGCCCCCTGGCCTGCAGCGAAGAGCTAGGGAGCAGCAAGCCCTGAGGTGGAGGAGTGGGCGATGGGACCCTGAACTCGCAGAGGAGGGCGATGGGCACCGTGGCCGCTGAAGCCTGCGCCCTGCCGGCCTCACCCCCGCTCTCTCCTGGCAGAGCCTGAGCGCAGCCCTGGCCGTGCGGAGGTTCAAGGACCTCACCTTCCAGGAGGAGTACAACACGCTGTTCCCCAGCTCGGCACAGCCCTAGGCCTGCCCGGCGCCCGAGCCGGGGGCCCCGGGTCCCGCCCCTGGCCGGGGGGTGGGCAGCTGCCGCCTGCACCGGCCAGGGTGCCAGGGCCGCCAGAGCAGGGGGCTGGCTCGAGAGGCCAGTCAAGACCCACCACTTCCCCGTTACCTCTTTTGTTTACTCTTCTTGTGTTCATCCACTCAGTAAACGTTTATTGAGCAGCTGCTTTGTGCCTAGTGATGAGGCAGAGGGGCCCCTGGCCCCAGGAGCCCATGTGCAGGGCAGGGGAGACCCCAGACCGCAGTCTCCCTCAGGGGACCGCCATGGGCCGTTAGAGGGTGGGCCGCGGCCCCTGTGCCGGCTGCCGGGGTGCTGAGCCGCGACGGTGAGAGGGCCTGAAGGCTGACCTTACAGCCCCAGTGGAGGCTGGCCGCCAAGGGAGGCCTGGCTGAGGACATCAGAGGACTCCAGTCCTGATCGGCTCTCATGTGCTGTGTGACCCTGGGCAAAGCCCTGCACCTCTCTGAGCCTCCGTCTGATTCCCTGGACTGAGGAGTGAAAATGGACCAATCTCTCAGGGACATTATGTGGATGAAACAAAGGCTGGCACAGAGATGCTCAATAAATGTGGGTTCTTTTGTTCCTTCATTTGTTCCCTCATTCATTTATTCACTCAAGTCATGTACTCATTCATGTATTCACTCACTCTGCCCAGGGAGGCAGGGACACGTCCACGGTCTGACTTTGGGGTGATTCTCATGTGGTGAATTTTTGTGCTGCTGGACGGTGGCCTCCGGTTCTGCACAGGTTCCCTCCGTGGGGCCCTCGGCTGCCTGGGCAGGAACCCACCTGTCCCTCCTCGCTCTGCAGAGCTGAGGAGGTGACGGAGCATGAGCAGGCCCCAGAGCAGAGCGCAGAGGGAGCCTCCTGGCACCGGGAACGTGTGAGTGCAGGCTGCTCATGGCGCAGTGAGAGGCCTACTGTGGGCCTGAGCTGAAGGAGCAGGCACGTGGACACCAGGTTTCTGGGCTCCGAGCAGAACTCCCCGCCGCCCCTCCACAGCCCAGTCATCGGGCCCAGGCGCTCCTGTGCCCCTGCCGGGGGCCCCTTGACCTGGATGGCGAGCAGGCTTGGCTCGGAGGGCAGAGGAGTGCCCTGTTCGCACTAGGCGCCTGTGGTCAGAGGCCGTGGCTCCAGGCCCGTCTCCCTGCAGGAGAGCAGCCTGGACAGGCGAGCCGGGCTCCCGGAGAGCCAGGTCTGCAGATGCTTCTCAGGGACTCACCCGTCCCTTCTCCACGTGCTCCTGCCAGCTTGCCGATGACGCCACCCCAGAGGGGGCTGTCCCCCTCCCTGCTCCTCAGGCTCCTGCGTGTGAGGGGCCGGCAGCCAGGACCCCACTCCAACACAGAACATACAGGAGGGCCCCTGCTTCCCTCGGCCGGCTCCTCCCGGCCTGCCTCTCCCAGGCCCCCGACACTGCTGTCAACAGCCACGTCCCAGGAAGGGCTGCCCCTCGGACCTTTCTCCACTGACACAAACCGCAAGTTAATGCCTAGTCACTGGGCTTCTGGAACTTTCTGGAATTAAACACCAAGCACCTGCGTCAGACCCTTTGCATGATGGCCCTTTGGTGCTTTGTCAGGGGGCTGACCAAGAGAAGGAGCTGTGGCCTGGGAAGGCCTGTGCTCAAGTCTGTGTTCTGGCGCTAATCCTGCCTTGAGGGCTCCCTTCTCTAGGCCTCAGTCTTCCCAGCTCAGAAATGGGGATGTGGGTTCTCATCCCAGGCCGGTTACCTGGCTGCAGAGACTGAGAGGTCTCAGTGTAAACCTGTGAACTACTTCACAGTGACATGTGACTTACTCCCTAGCTCGGTGTGGTCAATGTCATTGTCCGCAATGACAATATAGTTGCTTTTACTGAAAAATAACTCCCCACTTATGCGTGGGTGCTGGAGCCAAGTTGTTCCCGCCTGAAAAAAAAGGGCTTCAGTGGTCACATAAGAAGGTCGGTGAATGTGGTGTGTAGTGTCGCCCCTGGGAATCCAAGCGTACGTTAAATGGTAAGGCTCTGACAGGTCCTTGCTCCTGAAACGTACTCTGCTTAACAGTTTCCCAGATGCGTCGGACCACGTGGATTCCATTAGAATTAGGTTCAGCCGCAAATAACAGTGGTTTAAACGAAGCCCACGTCTGGGAAGACGGACCGAGGCTGGCGTAGGGGCTGGCTCCGGAAGTCTCTAGTGACTCAGGCCTCTGTCATCCCGACAGCGTGGCTCCTGGACCTCATGGTCCATTTTAGCAGCTAGAGCTCCAGCCATCACATCTGTATTCCAGGCATCAGGTCAAAGGTGAACGAAGACCTTGGGGTGGTCTCTTGGCCAGAACTTAGTTGTTTGCTTGCATCTAGCTGCAAGAGAGCCGGACGCCTTAGGGGATGGCAGCAGTCCCCTGTCCGGCCAGGAAACTTCCTTTCCCCGGTCCGCCTAACAGCCCCAGTTCGAGGACACAGTTCGAGAAGGAAGTCGTGGGCCTTTGGGCCATTTTAGCACACCGCGGCGGAGGCTAGAATTTTTGGAGGCCCAGAGCGACCTCTGGGTTTGGGGGCCACGGGGCGGGTGACTTCTGAAGTTCTGGACGATGTGGTTCTGGACAGCTTCCCTTCCATCATCGGTCACCTTGGTCCGTCTTTGGTGCTTTAGGATATTTAACCCTCTGTTGCCTGTGTCTGGTGAACTAACCGCCACTAACCGCGTGCTCTTGTCTGTCTCTCCCCTAACCTCCCCCTCCCTCCTGTCCTTGTCCCCCCGGCCCTCGTCCCCAGGCAGGCCAGGCTGTGCTGGCCTTCCAGCGGTACCAGATTGGCGCCGACTCGGCCCTCTTCTCCCAGGACTACATGGACCCCAGCCAGGACTCCAGCATGCCTTACGCCCCCTACGTGGAGCCCAGCGCCGAGCCGGATCCCACCGGCATGGGAGGCACCTACCAGCAGCCAGCCAACGCCTTCGACGCCGAGCCCCAGGGCTACCAGTCGCAGGGCTACTGAGCCGCAGTGACCGCTTCCTCCTCCTCCTCCTCCCCCTCCAGTCCCCGCCTGCCCCAGCCCCAACTGCCCCTTCCCCCTCCTCCCACGCCCCGCCCCTCCCTCCCAGGCTGCCCTGCCCAGCACCTCATCAGCCTCCCAGTCGCTCCACTGAGGCCCAGGGCGGCTTGGGGCGGGAGGGGCAGGAGGGAGTTGCAGGGTGTGTGTCTACATGTGTGTGTCCAGCAGGAGCCTAAGGTGTTTGCATTCATCCATTGTGTCATCGAGCATCCATGGAGCACCTACTGTGTGCGGAGCCCGTGCTCCGCACGGGTGTGAGAGAAGTGGTGTCCGGGGAGGGGGAGGGGATGCGAGGGGGGGCCTTTCCGTGCCAGCGGTAGGAAAGGTGAGAGTGACGGGTGACGCTGGGAAGGTCAGGCTGCAGGGTGACTGAAGACCCCCAAGACCCCAGGGCCACCCCCTGCTGGGTGTGACGCAGCAGCCCGCGAGGGGCATGGGGCTGTCTGTGGTTGTGGTTGTAGAAACTGAGGCCCAGAGAAGTCAAGGTCAGTCGTCGGTCACTCAGGAAGCCAGTGATGGAGCTGGGGCCGAGCCGAGGCTGCCTGATGGCCAGGCACCTGCCGTCCCCTGTCCCGGCCTCCCCACCCCCCAGCCTGGGGCTCCAGTGCTTGGTGCCCCATTATTCCGGGAGGCCCCGGGACCTTCGCCCTGAGACACCCCAATTCTGCTGAAAGCTGGGGGCCTGTTCCGCCCTTGCTCTTCCCAACTGGACAGCCCTGCCTCCCGGCCCCTCACCATGTCCCCCCCGGCCCCTTCCAGGGGGTAGTCCCCTGCATACCACTGTGCTGTGTGTGCCTGCGGGGGGCTCTGCACCTTCTCCGTGGCTCCCGGAGGACTGACCACTGCCCCTGCCCCTGCCCCGAGGAGAGGCCAAGGCCCTGCCACGGCGGGGGGAGGCCAGGAGGGGAGCGCCTGGCCAAGGCCACAGCGCGGGGCAGAGCTGGGCGGGTGCCTGGGTGTCTTGGCCCCAGCTGCCCAGCAGGTGGCCCGTTCCCCGCCCTGTGACCTCCCAGGAAACACCGGGGCTGGGACATGGTCTTGCCCTCCTCTGGGGCCAGCCAGGGGCCGGGGGCTCTGTAGCCACGGGCAGGAGGGGCCCTCCCCTGGCCGTCAGGAGGCCCACGAGGGGCGCGCTCCCTGCGGGCGCTGAGTAGAGAACAAGGACTCTGGGCCCGCATGGCCAGCCTAGAGCTGCCGCCGTGTCGAGCTGCCCAGGATGACCGGGGAGGCCCGGGGACCGCAGGCCGCGGAGGAGAGCAGCAGGTGCCCCGGTGTACGAGGAAGACGGGGGGGGGGGGTCCCACAAGGTGGGCTCCTTATTGAGGAGCCTCGGTCAGTGGGAAGTGGTGTGGCTGTTCTCACGGGAGAGCCCTCAGGCGGTGATGGCAGCTCTGGGGCACCCGCGCTGGGACAGCAGCTGACAGCCGCCCTGAGGCGAGCACTAGGCCCCCCACGGACCCGGGTGCCCGAGGGGCTGAGGCCCCCGGGAGGGTCCTGAGGACGGAGGAGTCACACAGCGGGGAGGGAAGGAGAAGGAACTTCCTGGCCAGAGAAGTAGCATTGTCCCCACTTAACCGGAGGGGAAACCGAGGCTCGGGGAGTGTGAGGTAGCAGTGGGGCATGGGTTCGGACTCAGGTCTGTCCACGCCCTCCCCAGGGGCAGCACTGCGGGGAGAGGACCCCAGACCAGCCTCCGCATCTGAGGAAGGGCCGTCTCCCCAGAGGTGTGGGACCAGGAAAGGGGGTGGAGGTGTTTCTGGCAGAAGCTCTGAGCCCCTGCAGGAGGCGGTGAGACGTCTGTCCCCACTCCCACTCCCCACCGGGAGCCGCCCCTCCTGACGGGCACTGGGAGACCCCGGGTGAGCCCCGCTGAGATGGTGCGGGCTGGAGGGCAGGGCACATTGCAGCGTCAGCCGGCCCCTGGGTGTTCATTGCAGACTCCCTGCCGCCTGGGCTGGGAGCGTTTACAAGACCCCGGCAGGAGTGGGGGTCCCTGACTCCTGCCGCAGCCTTCCTGACTGGTCCTGGGGTACAGCCCAGACTGCCACCATCAGACAGGGGCCGGCCCACGGTGGAGCTGAGAAACGGGGCCAGAGGTGTCAGAGGGCAGGGTGTGGGTGCATGGAGGGGACCGCGGCTCCTGACTCCCCTCCTGGGAGCTGGGGAAGCTGTTCTTTGTCCACTGAGGACCCCCGGGGCCCAGCCGTATCCCCCTTCCCTCCCTATGCCCCTTCCTTGGAGAAATGCCCCTGACCTTGCAGAGTTTGGGTTTTCTTCTCCCATCGAGCACCAGACAGCCGGGCAGACTGGTTCCACACGCGTTTAGAGTTGCATGGACCCTCCAGGCGAGAGTCGGCCAGAAGGCAGTGACTTGCCAAAGTCAGGACAGAGCCTGCGGCTCCGGGTCCGGGCCGCCTGCCTGGGCGTGGCTCCCGGTCTGCTCTGGGGTGTGACATGGAGACGACATTCCCTCCTCCTCCAGCCTTCCCAGGTGACCCTTTATCTTCAAAGACTTTGTCAGGGTCCCAGGCCTCCCCCATGTAACCAAGAACCCCCCCTTGTTACCCTCTAGGGGCCCCCAACTTTGAACTAAGACCCCAGGACTCTAAGGAGCACGAAGGGGAGCTCCCCTCTCAAGAGTGTGTGGGAGGATGGGCTGGTCCTGCCGGCTCCCTGCGCTGCGCCTCCACGTGACCCTCCCCGCCCCCCGGTGCCCGCCCTCCTGCAGCGTTACTGCCTGTGTATAGTATAAATATATATATTTTCTATATATAAGATGTATAATATAAGGCTCTGCAAATATATCTGTGTGTGTGCGTGTGTGTGTGTGCAGTGAGCGGTGGTCCCCATCCCGGGCCCATCTCTGGATCCCCCACCACCTGGCTAAGCCTCTCAAGTGAATCCCGTGGCCCGTGGCTCCCTCCTCTGTGACCTCCGTCCATTTGTGATGAACCAAGTGAAGGTGGTGACTTCCGGTGACAGTAATAAAGTGCAGACTCAAACCCTCCGCGGACTGCAGAGTGGCCGTTTTCTCTGTTCCTCGCGTGTGGCTGGGAGCGCCCACCGCCATCTCCCCGGACCTGGGACATGTTTGTTCACCTTTGTTTAGGAAAAAGTAAAGTCATTACAGTGGAAGTCAGCGTCCCCCACTTGGCATATGTGCACATGCTACACGCACAAACACGCATGCACATACATTGACATGACCTATTCTGGACCCTTCCCTGACCTCCAGACGCAACCAAGATCAGGAGCTTGGCCTCATTCCTTCCAGACCATTGCTATGCTTCTGTGTTTGCATATGTTTGTAGGGCACTTTTTTTGTTTTTTGTTTTTTTTTAAATTCTTTATTGAAAGTATTATAATACATATGTCTCATTCAGGACATTATTTTTTAAAATATATTTTTATTGATTTCAGAGAGGAAGGGAGAGGGAAATAGAAACATTAATGATGATAGAATCATTGGTCGGCTGTCTACTGCACACCTCCTGAGGATCGAGCCTGCAACCTGGGCATGTGTTTTGACCAAACCGTGACCTCCTGGTTCATAGGTTGACACTCAACCACTGAGCCACACCAGCTAGGCTGCAGGACACTTAAAATAAAAAAAAAAAAATATATATATATATATATATATATATATATATATATATATATATATATAATATTATATATTATATATTTTATTTATTTATTTATTTTACAGAGAGAAAGGGAGAAGGATAGAGAGTTAGAAACATCAATGAGAGAGAAACATCGATCAGCCACCTCCTTCACATTCCCTACTGGGAATGTGCCCGCAACCAAGGTACACTCAACCACTTTTTAAAAATATATATATTTTTTATTGATTTTTTTACAGAGAGGAAGGGAGAGGGAGAGAGTTAGAAACATCCATCAGCTGCCTCCTGACCACGGTTAGGACCCTTTATAAAGTTAGTGGCCCCCAGGCCCTGTACAGGCCCAGCACCGCGCTGGCCCTCCGAGTTCCGCATTGGACAAGGAGCCTTGCTGTCTCGGGGAGATGACGGTAAGCCCACATGCAAGCAAACGTGAGCTGTGCGAAGTGCTGAGGACGTGGGCAGAGCTGTGGAAGCCTGGCGCGGCCAGCTCTGGGGCCGTGACCCTGAGCCCGGGCTCCGGAGGAGAGGGCTTCCCTAGGGGGAAGGGGCGGGGAGGGCACCGGAGACACCACGTCCTGCCCTGGAAGAGCTCAGCGGGAGGGGACGAGGGAGAGGCAGGCCGGAGGGTGCCCGGGCCCCACGCTCAGGGCCTTGAGGCCTCCGAGCAGGTCTGGTTCATACTGAGTATTGGGGAACCCACAGAAGGGTGAGTGACCATCTGGGCGGGAGCTTTCATTTTTTATTTTTTTATTTATATATATATACATATATATGTATATATATGTATATATATGTGTATATATATATTAATATATTTTATTGATTTTTTACAGAGAGGAAGGGAGAGAGATAGAGAGCTAGAAACATCGATGAGAGAGAAACATCGACCAGCTGCCTCTTGCACACCCCTTACTGGGAATGTGCCCGCAGCCAAGGTACATGCCCTTGACCAGATTCGAACCTGGGACCCTTGAGTCCGCAGGCCGATGCTCTATCCACTGAGCCAAACCGGTTTCGGCTGGGTGGGAGCCTTTAAAAGGCCACTCCAGTGGTCAGATGGTGGTCAAGAGGTTGCTGCCCCTCCTTCAGACAGGAAGATCGCCATGGCGTTGGGAAGAGAAGTCAAGATATATTTGAGAAAGTGGCTGATCAGTACGTGATGGACTGAACAAAGGCGGGTGAGGTAGGTGTGCGAACTCCCAGGGCGGGGGTGGTGTGGAGGAGCAGGTGAGCTCTGGCCTCTGTGTGGCCTGTCAGTCATGGTGCTGGTGGTGCCCAGGTCCCTGTTCCTCTGCAAGTCCCACCTTCAACCCTGCATGGGAAATGCCACCAGGCCTCTGATTGGACAGAGGTGAACACGTGATCCGTGGGCTGCCCTTCATAGGCTGTCTTGGTGCCAAGAGGGCCCCCATGGTTAAGCCAATCAGATTGCTTCCCCCCATGACGGGGCAGAGGGATTGGGCAATGGGGGAGGAGGGAGGAAACTCCAGGAGAGGCAAGGGTTCAGAGAGGAAGGAGTGAGTGGCAGGTTCCAGCCTACCCAGTTCCACTCCCTTTGCTGCAAGGCTTACTAACAAGAGTCTTACCAGCCTTGCGAGGCCCACGCCAAGGCTGCTCCCCACCTGAGGAGCAAACCCCTGGGACACGGTGGGACCCAACAGACCCAACACGGGTCAGGCCTGCCCCCTGTTCCACCTGGGCCTCACCTGAGCAGCCCTTCCCCCAGTCTTCAAGAAGATCAACGGAATGGACATCACTTAAGGGTCATGTGGCCCTCCCTCCATTGCACCTTCTGCCTTCCTCATCATATCCTCTGACTTCACAGCTACCAAAGCACTTTTCACATATGTTATCTCCAAAAAGAACTTCAAAATTTGACATCAGCCCTAGTCAGTTTGGCTCAGCGGATAGAGTGTGGCCTGCAGATCAAAGGGTCCCCAGTTTGATTCTGGTCAAGGGCATCTGGGAAGCAGGCTCCTCCCCACCTGGGCCCTGGTTGGAGTGCTTGCAGGAGGCTACCAATTGATGTGTTTCTCTCACATCAATGTTTCTGTCTGTCTTTCCCTCTCTCTTCCACCCTCTCTTAAAAAAAAAAAAATCAATGGAGTGTCCGGGCCTTTGGAGGCGTGTGGGGTGGGGGAATCAACGGAAAATTATCCTCGGGTGAGGACTTAAGAAAAACCCACAAGCCGAAACTGGTTTGGCTGGTGGATAGAGCATCGGTCTGCGGACTCAAGGGTCCCGGGTTCGATTCCCGTCAAGGGCATGTACCTTGGTTGCGGGCATATCTCCAGTGGGGGGTGTGCAGGAGGCAGCTGATAGATGTTTCTCTCTCATTGATGTTTCTAACTCTCTAACCCTGTCTCTCTTCCTCTCTGTAAAAACTCAATAAAATATATTAAAAAATAAAAATTAAAAAAATTAAAAACCTCACAAAATTTGACATCAACATCTGAAGGACTAGGCTCTGCCGCCAGTTGGGGTGGAAGTGGGGGCAATTCAGAAGAATGTGTCTCAGAGAGGGATGCAGAGGACAGCACAGTGGAGTGTCAGCCTCCAACGGAACCAGCCACCCCCACGGCCATCACTTCAGAACTTAGAACATGATCGTTCCTCCCCGGACTGGAGGGAAGTCACTAATAGCTGAAGAGGGTTTTAACAGAGTCAGGGAATTTGGGGAAATATGAAAACGCTTTCGAAGAAATACTACAATAGCTTTTAGTATCAGGGGCCCTACATGATCTGCAGGGCCTGGTTCAAAAGGAAACGCAGGGTCTCTTATTCAAAAGCAGTAAAAAGAATCCAGTTTGGCTCAGCAGTAGAGCGTCAGTCTGAGGACTGAGGGGTCCCGGGTTCGATTCCAGTCAGGGGCATGTACGTTGGTTGCGGGCATGTCCCCAGTGGGGGGTGTGCAGGAGGCAGCTGGTCGATGTTTCTCTCTCTATGACATTTCTAGCTCTCTAGCTCTCTCTCTTCCTGTCTGTAAAATATCAATAAGATATATTTAAAAAAGAAAAAAAAAGAAAACAGTGCAGTTAAAGGCACTAAAATAGAATGCTTTTTCCTTTCAAAATATTTTATTACTTACACAATGTCATGGGGCAATAGTGACATGAGTAATATAGTAAACTTAAAATGGCAACAAAATAATATTTTGTTCTAATCTATATTGATAAAAGGGTAATAAGCTAATTAGACTGAACGTCTTCCGGACAACCTGCCATACATCCTTCCTGACAAAGCTCAGCCCAGGCGAAGCAGCCCAGGGTCCCAGGCGCCTGTGGCCAGCCCAGGTGAACCTGGCCTGGGTCCCAAGTGCCTGTGGCTGGCCAGAGGGAGGGAAGCCTGGGTCCCGGGTGCAGGGGCTGAGGCAGAGGCGGTTAGGGGCGATCAGGACAGCAGGGGAGCAGTTAGGGGCAATCAGGCAGGCAGGTGAGTGGTTAGGAGCCAGTGGTCCCAGATTATGAGAGGGTGCAGGATGGGCTGAGGGACACCCCCTCCATGCATGAATTTCATGCACCAGCCCTCTAGTCCTATATAATAAAAGGCTAATACGCAAATTGACCAAACAGTGGAATGACTGGTTACTATGATGCACACTGACCACCTGGGGGCAGACACTCGCTGCAGGAACTGCCCCCTGGTGGTCAGTGCACTCTCACAGGGAGAGCACCGCTCAGCCAGAAGCCAGGGAGGTGGCAGAAGCTGTGCTAAGGGTGTTTGACTGACATCCTCCGAGGGCTCCCAGACTGCAAGAGGACACAGGCCAGGCCAGACTGAGGGACCTCCCCAATGCACAAATTTCATGCACCAGACCTCTAGTAAAATAAATAATTTACCAATATAGCTGATTGAACATTAGATTCTTCTGCAAATTCACTTAGTAGGTCATCAAAATGTGTACTTTTGCCAACATCATTTCAGCTGACACACAGTCCTACCTCGTTTCATCGAGCTTTGCTTTACTGAGCTTCGCAGATGTGTGTTTTGCAAACTGAAGGCGAGACCCTCCGCCAGTTAAGGGATTGTGACTCACTTTATTGCAATAGTCACTTCACTGCAGTGGCCTGGAGCTGAGCCCACTCTGAAGTATGCCTGGAATTGAACACCACGACGGGCCACGATGGGCCAATGCAAGATCACAATTTTTTGTAATTTTTAATTTGGAGAAGAATCTTTTTTTCTTCTTCTTCTTTTCTTTAAAATATATTTTATGGATTTTTTACAGAGAGGAAGAAAGAGGGATAGAGAGCTAGAAACATCGATGAGAGAGAAACATCAACCAGCTGCCTCCTGCACAACACCCATCGGCGATGTGCCTGCAACCAAGGTACATGCCCTTGACCGGAATCGAACCTGGGACCATTCAGTCCACAGGC